AGAAGCCAATGTATTTGCCCGGCATCAACGTCTTCGTCTACTGGAAAGGGACTGTTGCGCCCACCTGCTCACCCGTGGTATGTCGAACCAACCAACAGCACTGCCCAGGATGATCGGATGCAGCTTGTATCACCCACAAGGCGTCTTTGGACTTTCAGGATTCACACTAGGACACCTCAGCGATGATCATGCAAAGCTCACCGGTATTGGGCTGAGGACCGGGGCTCACCACCCTAGGCGCAGCACTGTCGAAACGACCATATACCAACTGTGAAGGGCGTTGCTGATTGCATGAGGCAAATTCAGGTATGCCTGAGGTCCAGGAGGTTCGATTGATTTGTATCCTTCGTATCTCAACACGATTTCGAGCGACCACGGAGGCTGCCGGTACAATGCGTGGCGTTTACAAGACGCGCGAAAGCTGGAACCTCGCAAAGGCTCATTCTACATCCCCAGACCCTTTTTCCATTTCACGCAATCCCAGATCCTTGTCTACATCTAGCCAGACTTAATGTGGCGCGATATTGCTCGCTACAAGATTACGATCACACCTCGAAACTCGATGCGCTCTCAGGTCACATATCTTCTCCGGACTGGTCTGCTAGCTTCACAGCCGCGCTTTTCATGGTGCAAGCTACTACTGGAACACGGCCCACGTCTACTCGTTACTTTCTACCGATCAGCGAGATATTATCTATGCCAGGTATAAATGTCCGCAGCGTCTGCAGCATGGCCAGATACATGTCTCACCTTGTGAAATCAATGGGCTATGGTAAGCTTGCACACGCATGATCACGATAATTGTGATCGGAATTCCGGATCTAGCTTCCATGAATCTCCGTAAGCACAAATATCGAGGGCTAGATTTGCTTTTCGCACGATCGAGTAAACGTGGCTACACGTTGACCAGTGACAAGGATCAGCACGCCGGCACGTAAGGTCGACAGGGCAAAATGCTCGAGGCTGAGGCAGTGGAATCGCCACCTTACAATCTGCTCAGGCTGAATCCAGTGTATTACTTTCGCAGTCTCGACCACACTAAACCTTGCACAGCGTAAGCCTTATCATCATTGCTGCAATGCGAGCTGTCTCCTCTACATTTATGCAACATTCAGCTCATGTGCGAAGCCACGTCACCTTGCGCTCGTTGCTTGCAGGCTCCGGTCAGTCTTTTTTCTGGTCGTCGATCTAGGTGGAAGAGAAGGTGACAGATAATAACTCACTAGTGATGCATACTTCTCCGCTGTATGCTATGCTACACAAAGGCCCGGACCCGTCTTCTGGGTGTTCAAGGCTCAAACTGACTGCCCCATTCACCGTTGCATCGCATTGAGTATTGACGTATGTTTATACAACCATATCAACGGCGTGAGTGGATTGACTACAGAAATCTCCGATAGTCGTGGTAGGACATCAGTGTTCGGCACAAGATGAAAGGGGCTGAGCAAGTGTCCTTTACTTCACCTGCATACCACCCGGCAACGCCGTCAGCCAACCATCAAAGTTCTCGCCGACCATATCCTTGACATTGCACTTATTCTGTGTAGCGATATTCTGCTTCTTCAGTGTGGGTGCTGACACGTAGTTGTTCCCATCCATAGCCTTCTGCAGCGAGTTGTCCTTCCAGCCAAAGAGGTAGTCCGCATGGGTTGAAAAACCGGTCACGTCGCCACTAGACCAGACGAAAGGCTGACTACCATCCGTCGGCCAGTCTGCCTTGTTGTTGAACTGCTTCGTATCCCAGACTGTCTCTAGTAGGATCTGGGGTAGGCGAACGGGGTGTGTGTCTGGACATGCGCCGCCGTTCTCGAATGTACCCGTTGCGGGGTAAGAGACGTGCTCGCGGTGGTTTGGTGAATCGAGGTTCTCGCCATCCCAGCACTGGAAGCAGTCAGTACATACATGCAACGTACAATTACAAAGTCGGAACTCTTACAGTTGGAAACCGATGGTTAATCATGATGCCAGCCGGGCAAGGCTGCTTCGGGAACTCGAGTGTTTCAGGCTCTCGGGTACCCTCGTTTTGCATGCAGATATACGTCAACTGTCGAAAGTCGCGCGCTTCCTCGCGAGAACGGTACGAGACGTCGCCGATCAGCATGCGGAAACCGGGCTTGAAGGCTGTTACTTTGGTGGTTTGCGAGGTGCTGAAGAGGGCGTCGGTCATGTAGTATACGACCTGCATGCATGTTAGGCGTTGGCTGTGATGGGGTGAGAAGAAGGTGCGTACCATGCCGCCGTTGGTACCTTCCATGCCTTGTTGCGCTCGTTGGGGTACGCGTTTGAAGGTGCCGTTCTTGGCTTTGAAGTACACGACTGCGGTCCAGTAGTTGCCTACCGTCATCTCATTAGTGTCTCTCCGTCATCTAGAACTGTGTTGTAGTCCTCACTCAAGTCTTCGGAAAACTCGCACGTGGTGCACGTCGATTGTGTCGCCAGATCATGGCCTTTGGCTGGATCCATGGTGACGTTGAAGGAGTTCTGACGGTGTCAGCAGTAGAATGCTTGTTTGGAGAAGGGCTTTCTTACACCTCCGATGATCTGATGAAGATGTGGCGAGGGATTCGAGCCTGGGTTCACCAACGGGTCAAGTCTCTGTACTGTCAACTGCGCGCAGCCAAAGCGCAAAAGCCCTGCCTTCGCAGTCGCGACTAACCCGAAGACAATGGCGAAGATGTGTAGTTTCATGTCGTTACGTCCCTGTGGTCTCCAGCGTTCCGGTGTTATCGACAGCTACCAAACAGCAGTTTGCAGCCCATGGCAAGTCTTTCCTTCATACTGTGGGTGCCACGATTTGATGTCCAAGATACTACCAACTGCCGTCTTTTACGAGCATCGATGCGAAGAGCCGAAGGCCAGGGTAATGTAAGCTAATATCGCGTAGCGAATGCGAGCTCAGATGCCAAGGAAGATGGAACGTCGTCGTTCCATGAAGGGGGTCATTCATCTGAAGCCTTCAAATGAGCAGACGCCTGGAATGAGTGTTCTCTAGAGTGGTCAAAGGACAAGAGCTGAAAAGGTGCACGACGCGGGACGATCCGTCCGATGCCTACAGAGACTGCAGCTGACCGTGGGTGTAACCAGCATTCGTTCTCCTCCAAAATACCGCAAGCTGCATAGTACTTCCGGATATATTGTTCCAAGCGACCGGCACGAGTTGCAATCGGATACATGAGTCCGGGATGCTCAGTGCCAGTGACGTCCGATAACAGATAGTTGAGCAGAGCAAAGCGGCACCACACAACGACAAACACTTCCCAACCAAGCATTCTCACCTTTTCCAATCACCTGAATCCGTCATGGTGCTCTTTATCGCGGTCCTGGCAACTCTTCTCGCTCTCAGCGCCGCCCAAACATACCCAGAGTGCACTGCCGAAGTCGCACGGAGCGACGACTGCGCCGCGGTCATCAACGCAAACGCCTGCTACAACAAGTTTCGGTGGAACTCGCAGACCTTGACATGTATAGATGGAAATGATAACGCGGTAAAACAAAAGAAGGTAAGGCATTCAACGGCTGACGATGGAGATTGTGGCGCTGACCACGGTGGTGCATGACAGGTGTGCGCTTGTTGCAGCTGCGTCGGAAAAGTCATGTGTGACTGGGCGACGAAGCAAAAGTATTGTTGAGATATTGGATATTACTCGGGTTGCGTTGAGGCGTAGGTAGTGAAGGACGCCTAGAATTCAGATCCAGTCCTCGAATCTTTGTATACATTGACTTCTCTGTGACTGTCGCGTAATCAGCACTTGTTGGATAAGAAGACCATAGATCAAACCAACATCATTCCCCGGTCTGAGTCAAAGGCGAACCCTAATTCCGTTGAATACAATAGCATGAGCATTTAGCTATCGTTCCTGGCGAAATCTGAACACGATCTGTAAGGGATTCATGCGCCTTGCGATATCTGCATTATTGCGGCACGGGAGCCTTGGCAAGGCTGACAGCCACCGCAACCAGCCGCCTAGTGATTAAAGGGGTGATGAAGCTTTCTGTTGAAATAGTCCTTGCTTCTGTACTTTCTCTCCGTCAGCTCTACGATGAAGGCGTTCTTATGCCTGTCGTACCTAGCGGCGTCTGTTTTAGCCGAGTTCACAAACCCTAACTGGATTAACGGAAAGAGATTTTGGTCCAAAGGCGAGGAGATAACTGTCCGATGGGACGACAATTGGCCGAATTGGGGTGATGGGCCCGTCGGCGACGAGTCTCTCCTTGATCTCTGGATTACAAGCTATGCCAACGACGCATTTGTACGAAAACTATTTGGTACGCTGTAATCGACGTTGTTCATCCCGCCGCCCCTAGAAACTAATCGATATTCGCAATAGAACTGGATACGACCGATGTGCGGCAAGGTGGGCAATGAAACTGGACGGTCGATGTCCCCGACGATCGTGCCAACGGCAGTAATCATGTGTTTCGATGGAAAGAGCATCGCGACGATGATGTATGGTATAACCATTCGTGGGGATATCGGAGCATGATGTTTGCGGTCTCCAGAGCTATTGAGCCTTCTTCGTCGTCATTCACAACCACATCGAATTCAGGAGCAGAGTCTACGGCTATCTCGAACAGCATGACCACTTCGGACCGCGACTTATCCAACCTACCCCGTGAAACCTCGAGCCCCGAGAATACACCGTCAGGCAACGATAGAGCTCCGCGCGGTACAAGTCCAGGTGTTATTGCAGGTGCGGTAGTTGGTAGTCTGGTCGGTCTATTGGCTATTGTCGCGGCTTTCGTTCTCGGTCTGAAGAGAGGGAAGATAAGGGAGAAGGGCAAAGCAATCATCGATGACTCTGGCGACAGGGTGCAGAAAGATGCGCCTTCTTCTGCAACAGCAACGCCAGCACCGATTGAGCATAACAAAGGGCGCTACAAGACGAGCGATTTGCCCGAGTGGGTTGCACCGAGATGATTTGGGACTGGAAGATTTGCCTCTCGCCAAAATGATAAGAATATTCGGATGTGTGCGTACATAGTCCCACTCTCAGCAAGTCTCACCAGATAGTGTATCCCCCATCCACGATGATCTCGCTACCCGTGACGTAGCTGCTAGCATCACTGACCAACCAGACGGCCGCACCGCGGAATTCCTCTGGCTTGGCGATCCTCTTCATGGGAATATCCTTCAACCACTCTTTGCTCAGCTTCTCCATCTCTTCCCCCTCGTTAGCCTCGGTCTGGATATATCCCGGGCTCAGTGCATTGACGCGGATGCCGTGCGGCGCCCACTCTGACGCCAGTGACTTCATGAGATGGGCCGATGCAGCTTTGGAAGCGTTGTATGCCGACTGCTTCTGCGGGCGGTTGACAATGGAGCCGGACATTGACGAGACGATCAGGATGCGGCCGTCGACCTTGTTGTCGATCCACCATCTACCTGCTGTGCGAGAAAAGAGGAAAGTTCCAGTCAGATTGACGTCGATCATTCGTTTGAAGTCTTCGAATGGGTAGTCCTCGGCCGGTGCACCACCAGTAATGCCAGCATTCGTAACGAGGATATCGACGGTCCCAAAGTCTTTGACGATCTTTTCCCACGTAGACTTGACGCCTTCCTCGGACGATGTGTCGCACTCGTAGCCATGCACCTTGGGGGGTGAGAGGCCTTGATTCTTAGCCTCTTCAATGAGGGCACTGGCTGATCTGTCGGCACCTTCTTGCTTCAGGTCTACAATGGCTCCATGGGCGCCGGAAAGGGCGAAGGCGGCGAGGATCTGTTGACCAAGACCTTGAGAGGCACTGTATAGCACATTAGCTTGCTTGTAACTGTATTTGGTGTCTCGTGAGAGGGACACCAGGGGTAGCTAAGACCCGTGTCGCATTCTGCTGCATACACACCAGTAAATGTTGACAAGTGAATACTTTCGAAGATGATGTATGCTTCTACGCAGGAAAATCTTGCGACACGGATCGTAGCCGCCCATGGCGCGGGTTGGTGATCTCATACCCGGTAACTATAGCAAGTTAGCTAGCTTGTCAAGAGACTCTCTTGACTACCTACCAACAGCGACCTTGCCCTCAAGCGAGAAGTCAGGCAAAGTCCTGCGCTGTGTGTGAGCAAAGCGAACAATAGGTCTCAACAGATGCGAAAGCGTCTTCGAAGTCCTCAGGACAGCATCGCGGGCGACATACGGGGGCATTTTGAACGTTTGATTCTGTGATATGAGTAAGTGGGAGATGAATTCTGGTATCAAGAAAGCGTGGAGCTGTATGTTGTAAGACTGGAAGAGCCCGTGAGGCTCTTTTGTTTGTTGCAACGTTTACCAGGTACGCTCTTGTGATGGAGGAATTACGTCACTTTTGCGTACACATGTGCTCAACCGAGTCATGTCCGGGATGTTGTTACTTCGCGGTCAACAAAGGTATTAACAGGTAGGAACTTGATGTAGCGAGGTTTTGATGTATGGCAATAGCGTTGCAGGTCAGATGGGAATCGATGAGGTAGTGATTCGAGAGCACAGCAATTGGACTCAAGCCAAGAGAAAACAGTGGCTATATTCAACGGGTTGTAGCAAGCCTTCCTATGACGATGTTCGCTAGCTGACAGCACCTAGGTGTCCTTCAAGACGTCGATCGTAACATCATGACGGAGTATGAGGTGTCCTCGCCCTACATGACGGTGCACCAGCAGGACTCGTCGCAACCGCAGCAGTCGCACGACTCGCCGCACTTCGGAGCTGGTGAGGGCTTGATGATAGTCGAGATGGAAGAGGCGACACTGGCAGGCATCTTGATGGTATTGGTGTGGAGGTGATACTGGACGGAGTGTTAGTTGCGTAGCTGGTAGCATGCCTGGATCACTTACTGTAATAGTCTTGTTGGATGTGAAGAGAATCGAGAGCCCAAGAGCCAAACGTGCTGTATTTGTGTGTGGGTGCGATAGGTGAAATTCGTAGACAGCGAAGTGAAAAGGTGGTGGGAAGTGAGTGTTCTCCTTCGCGGATGTCCACGACCCTTTATATCACTAGGTCGCAGGTCAGCAGGCGTTACAGTCTTCCCCAGCTCGATAATTCCAGGATAGTAGCTTCCGTCATTGCGGCCTGCGCGCCTTGTCATTCGACCTCATCGGTGGCACACATCAAGCCCTGACCCTCAGGCATGCATGTCCATGTTTCAACATCTGCCAGTTGTCAGGCCTGGAACTGGTCGCTCGGCCCTGCTGCACCGCCTCACCGACGCCGCTATCTCTCGAGCAAACCCAGGATGCAAGTCTGGACGGTGTGACAGATGAAAACGGCCGCGGCTGGGGTGGCTCAGCTTGCTCACGGTCATGTCTCATTGGTTCTGATTGGTGTCACGTAGACGTTTGTCGTAACAATCTGCATTAGAGCATGCCAACCCTTGCGAGGTGCATGCACTGATTGCGTGGCTAAGCTCAACTAAGCTTTGTGGCGCCAATAAATCCCTCACAAAATCAAGGAACAAGCTTTGCCAAGCGGCAGCTGAGAGCTTGGCTGTGAATGTGTCGTGACGGGCTTTGTGGGTCGGTTCGTCTGCAAGTCAAGTTTAGACACTCGGCTGTGCCACAATCGACGTGGTGCATGTCGTCGTGTTGCAGTGGCTGCGTACCCGTTGGACATGGCGCTGAGGTTCGGCTGAGGCCACGCGTCGTAGCGGTGTCTCGGGTGGTGCTTATACGCGCTCAACTCTGCGGGCCGATATTAGAGACGCGTACAGTCATGGGAGGGTAAAACTACGAATCGGTTGTAGAGCGTATATCGCTTCGCGCACATGGTGCGCATCGTTACTAAGTCATGATGAGGGATTTGAGAGGTTGGTGGAGCTGCGATTGAGGCTTCCCCAGCTTCCGGCGATCGCGCCGACTGGCACTAAGAGCGCCCACAGACGTCCCTGACAACTCAACCTCTCCTTTACAACCCCATCGGCACATCCTCTCTGTCCAGCCCACACCATTCGACGCTCCTGGACCACAAGGCTTGTTGTATATCCACATCTAAACTGTCCTGTGAGCTCTCGACTCTGTTCTTCCCTTCGAAGTACCCCTCCTGCCCATCAAATCTGTCGGCTACTGCCACATCTACGAAGGCGATTGCAGCTTGCTCGACGGTCACCAATCGAGGCTGGAAGTAGCCAATCAACGGCAACAACCAAGTCACGACCGTAGCCATGATCTGAATTGTTCGCGGAACGTGCGGCTGGTGGAATGCCCGCGATGTAATCAGATCCAGAGGATCCACCGCAACCGCGCGGATGGACTCTACATCTTTCTTCTGATGAAACAGTTAGGCTGCAAGCCAAGCAGGGTCTTCGACAACGGGAGACTTACTGCTTTCAGGCGACGATTGAGCTCGTACATCACCATGATGGAGACCAACTTGCTCACAGCATATCTTTGGAAGCCTCGTCCCAACTCTTCGCCTTCCTTATCAGTTTCTGGATGAACCAATAGTTCCAAATCGTTTGGGATATGAGTTGGATATCCCTTGACGAGGCTTGCTTCCTCCGGTCGATGTGCGCCGCTGCCCGAAAAGACGATACGGCCATGAACTGGGTCCATGGCACTCATGAGCCTGCAACATAAAGCAAAATGTGCAAGATGGTTGACCGCAATCGACATTTCGTATCCGTCTTTCGAATACTTCGGCCCGCCGGACAAATTCCATGTCATCGCATTGCAGATAATCGACCGGATGGGTGGAAGCTGCTTGCCCTCAATCTCAACAAGGAGCGCTCTGCTGAATACCCGAACGTTTTCCAGCGAAGAGAGATCGAGCTTTCTTATAGACACTTGTCCGTTGGGGTGCTGGGCTACAAGTTGACGAAGTTTTAGCGTGTTTGCATCTTTCTCTGAATCGTCTCGGACGGTAAGAACCAGGTTGAAGGATGAGTATGCTTCCAACAGGTACTTGACTGATGGTAAAGCTAGCGAACCGTTCGCGCCGGTGATTAGGACTGTGCCTGCCATGATGCGCGTAGAAACGAGCGGATGAGAGGAGTGCTCTGGATGCGAGAGAGACTTTGCAAGACGGCGCGTCGAAAGAGTCTTCGTTGTTCTTATCTACCCCTTGGGCGCGGTTGCTGACAGGCGAATACGCCCCGTCGTGCACCTCGATGCCGGCCTACCGTCTCGCAGCCATCAGCATACATGTCGTCCCGGGATGGGATCTCTCCCCCAAACGCAGCAGGCTCAAATATTCGTGACTGTGTACGTGCGAACAGTCATGAGGTAAACTACGAGTGCTGTTCTCCCAACCCTCACGATTGGTGGTAGTGTGGCCCAGGTCGTGTGCGTTCGCTAGTCGCGCCGCCCCTCAACGGCACCTCTGTAACTCCATAGCGCGCATCCTTCCACTTTATGCATGGGCCACGGGCTAGGCAACACTTCTGGTCGCGGAGTCACCACATGCAAGAGGAGAAATTTAACTGCTCCGCAGACTACATCAGGATATCGCGAGCAAACTAGAAAAGTCGGTGGTAAGGTAGGCTCCTCGGTGCACATTTTCCCCCTAGGTTGACGTGGATGTGTCGCATTGCGGCCGACCCCCGAGCACGAAGGATCAAAATGTCTATTTGACGACAGCAACCGGCTCCACTTTGCTACTCGTTCCCTTTTGGATACGACCCCGCATATCGTACGATCTGAGCAGTGCAATCCAGGGTCTTTCTCCCACAACCAAGTGTAGCCGGTCGCATAGGTTGGTGATTCAGTATGCATACTCACTGATGATACAGCAAGCTATCTAGACATTATATTCATAATAATTCCTACGGATCATTGGAGTCGTTTCTAGCCTGCGAGCGTGGATAGAGGCAGCGTAAATGAATCAAGCGGATTATCCAGGTTCCCCTCTATCCCGAGAGATGACACACGCACGATTGAGACTATAAGAATGCGTTCATGTTCTACGGCTCCACAAGTTTAGGCTAGTCATGAGCCAACTCTCACCAACTAAGTTACAGTGATGCTGCTACTTCCACTTGGCAGCAGCGTCCCGTTCGCAAATCCCTCCGTACAAAGAATCATATAGTCGTGACCGCCCAACCTCATCCCAGCCTTGTTCCACGCGTCATAATGCTTTTGCGTAGTGATTGTACCGCCAACCCTTTTCTCCGTTCTCACCGACCAGAACTGTGTAAAGGTACGAGTCCCCTCAATAGACGGTTTGTTTACGCGCTGGCTAGTGTACAGATCGTAGGTGCCTTCTTCAAAAGTGAAGTTGCCTTTGCGCGTCCAAGGTTCACCTGGGGCAAGGACGTCGTAAGACTCGATGATGTAGTATTCGATGAGGGGATTGCGCGTCCAGCCATAGAGGGCGAGGTAACCGGGGCCCTTGGCGTCGTATGTACCCGAATATTTGACTGTCCTAGTACGATCTATTAGTACAGTTCTGGAAATCGACTTGGACCCGTTGCTGCTCTTACCTCGAGCCCCCAGGCTTGAAACCTGTACCAGCAACGAAGCCACCACCAGGCTGTCCTGACCAGTTGCACGTGTACTTTCCGCCACCTTGTTGGTTGCAACGGAATGAGCCACCTCCTTCCGACCAAAAGGAGTAGTAGCCACCTTGACGGACTTCGAGCTGCTTCCCGACTGTTTCATGATTGATAAGTGAGGCAATACCACTCGGTGCGGTGAGAGCAAAAGGCAGACTGCCCAGCACGGCGGCGGCAAAGACTGCAAAAGAGACCATGATGTTGAAGCTGGTGAGTAGATAAGACGAAATATCTGGCCACCAGCCCCGGCGGTCTGTATCTATAACATACCTACCTTACATGTAAGGGCCTAGTATGGGAGTCTTGGTATCAAGTGCGCGTGATTCTTCGCACATGCTTCTCATTAATCAGCCATTGTTGCGAGATCGCCTCGGGCTCACTGACAGCAGCTTCTGCCAAGGACTGACCTGCCTCTCCCAGCAAGAAACATACTCTGCCAAGACTGGGGTGCATCTTCGTCAATATGTCCGATACTGCTGTGCCGGCTGTTCACTACCGAGCCAGGGGTGGTGCTTTCGAGCAGCCGTAAACATCAGGCTTCGATTTACCTTGATTAGAACTTGTTATCTGCCGATAGCATTTGGTACGACGATGCCCAGGTGGTCGAAATGACAGGTACCTGTCACCAATCGTAGGTGATGATCGTCGGGTGGACACGTTGTTAATCAAGGAAAAGAGCATGTGGGGTATGGTATGCGGTGAGGATGTTTCAACAGAAATTTAGCCGGGCGCTTCGATACCGTTCCGACTTCGTCAAGGCTCAGAACATAGCAGATCATGAAGCCGGGCAGCTTGAATACAGTGTCGGAGCGATGGCGAAAGGCGCAATGCGGAGACAGGAGACGCGTGCAAGCTTGCTCAAATCGAGTCTAGCGTGTTATCTTAGCTGATCGCCGGGGCACTGGGCACCCGCGAACGTGCTGCAATCTGTGAACACGAACCAGACACGCCGTACCTGCGACATCCCCGCTCTAAGCCTGACCACCACATATGAAAAAGACCAGACCTCCATCAGCAGGCACCGAGCTAGACTTCCATCTCGTACCCCGGCAGATGATCAAGCCACCCATCCACCTCTTCGTCGACGGAGCTATCAACCGCGCAAGCGTTCATCTCCTCCACAGTCTGAGTCTTCAGCACACCCTGAATACCCGGACTTCCACAATTATGGAACATGCAACTATCATTCATTACTCGCTGCAAGCTGTCCCCCTTCCACCCAAACACGTAGTCAGCATGAGTACCGTAGCCCTTGCTATCGGAATAACTCCACACAAACGGCTGCGAACCATCGGTTGGCCACATGTCGGCGAAGGCAGTTGTATTCCACATTGTTTCGTATGCTAGCTGAGGCATCTTGATGGGATGCGATGCAGGACACGGGTCCGCCGGGCGGAAGCCGCCTCGTGTCGTTGAGAACATGTGGGATTGATCTAAAGATTGGTGTACGAAGTCAGTTTTAATCTCACAGACAGTTCGCACAGGGAGATTACTGACGATCGGGAGAGTCAAGGTCGACTCCGTTCCAGCAAGAGGGAAAATGGCTACACATGAAAGACGCAATTAGTAGGTTTCGTGGAGAAAGGAACGAGTTTCTCTTGGGAAGATACGCGTTGCCCGCAAGTGCGTAGCACCTGTTTGCAAGAGTATGCTAACATCGCAGGGAGACTTACTGCCATGCTGTCAGTACCCTGATCATAATGTCTGCTAAGGATCATTACTTACCTGGATCGCCATGATACCTGCAGGGCAGGGCTCTTTCGGGAAGTCAGGAGTCTCATAACCTCTAGTGAGGATGGTTTGCAAGCACGTGTATGCCAGGCCCTTCTTTGTGCCGTTGAGTGTGTTTGTTGACGGGTTACCAACGGTCATGCGGAAGCCCTTGACCCGATTAATCGCTCGTTTCATCGACGGCCGAGATAGCATCACTCACCGGCGGAAAAGCTTTCACGGGATTGTCGAGGTCTGAGCTTTCGAAGTCTTTCTGGGTGTAGTATACCGTCATACCTCCCTTGATGTGGTCCGCATCTTGACCATCGAATCCTGATAAGGTTTAGCCTTTCAATGTGCTCCAGTGTAGGCGATGTCGTCGGAATACCTAGCTGAGCGTTTGGATAGATTGGAACGCGTTTGTATGAGCCGTTTTGGTGTTTGAAGTACATCGCCGCGGTCCAGTAGTTGGAAAAGTCTACATTCAATGTCAGCGATTGTAAAGGAACTGGAGTGAGGAACGCATGACGTACCTTCAGTGTATGCGCATGTTGTGCAGCTGCCCTGTTCCCCAATATCACCGGCCATCGTAGCGTTGAAAGCATTACCGCCTGCGGAAACGTCAATGAGAAAACCAGAGGCTGTATCGTAAGTCCAGCCTACCGACGATCTGGTGTACCTTTGCAAGTATGTCAGCACATGGTCACTACTACGATCATAACACTAACATGAGACGATGGTACACGGCCAGGCTCGACTAGCGGATCCAGGCGCTGGATAGAAACACTGCTGCAACCAAAGCGGATCGCAGCTTGCACCGCGACAGCTTGGAAAAGGAGTACATATAACTTCATGCTGTTGTAGATATCTGTGCTTGATGTGGTGATTAGAATGTCTCAGTGTTGATGTACTGCGATGGGAATGGTTCGTAGTGGGTTTTGGAGGAGTATGTCCCACCGAGACAGATACATGCCGCTCTGGAAAATCCGTTGAGAACTTCTCGCATCGATGTCCCCGATTCGCAGATGACAATGGTTCCAGCGCGCGACTGCCGGTGGGCAGCGCCAAGTCGTTGATGTTGCTCTTCATATGCGCCGTCCTGTCGGGTAAGGTGAATGTGGGGCATGTCGATGGGATGATGCAACTGACTCTTTATCCCCGATATGTTGCCCAGACTGTTGGATTTATAGCAATCCATGTAAGGACAGTTGTTCAATCATCCGAAACGGTGAAAGGGAATCGCAACGGGAGTGACAATCGCATGGAGAGGTGACGTCAATGTGAACAGTATCTTGCCCGATAGCACCAGGAGTCTAATGCATGCTCGGAACGATGCGCAGATCTCAAGATCTCAGTTAAGCAAGGGCTGTCGGGCGTTGAAGAATACATGGGCTAGGAAAGAGTTTCAAGAGCAAAGGGAGGCATTTCGTAGGTATTATGACAACACACGTGTTAATTTGTGACACTCTTTTATCGTGATGTATTCAGCCCGATCTTTCAGAACTACAACTTTACATAGTTGGCATAGTTCGGAGCCTTCATTTGTTCAGCTCTCGAGCCAGAGCGGCAATGCGCATCTGCTCCTTATGCTGCCTCCTGAGATACTTTTGTTTCCTCAGGGCTACGATGCCTTGAATCCATCGCCTTGTCTTCTCACTGGGCGCACGGTTATCACCTTGATTCTGCTGCCCCATCGGCGCAGAATGGCCTCCAACCTCCTCCACTTCCAGCTCACAGTTGCCTGCGAGTAGATCTTTCTCTTTGACAGGCTCAGAGTTACCTCCGAGTGTCTTCTCCTCCTCCAATATCTGAGAATTACCTCTCAGAACTGGCTTCTTCGGTGCGGGCTGAGAGTTACCTCCCAGGACCGGCTTCTCTTTCTCCTCCTCTTGCACAGGCTCGGGATCGCCTCCGTCGGCCAGACCAAGCAAGTCTCCTACCTGCTGCGCTGTTCCTTTCCCGAGGTTGGCAAAGGGTGCATAGCCAGGGAAGTGTGCGGCAATCTCCCTCATGTTGGCCTCCATGTTCTGGACCACGATTTCCTGCTTGGCAATACACACCAGCTCCTTTTCATCGAGGTCATCACAAGCATAGGCTTTAGCCAGTATTCCCATGTTGTATTTTCGTGCCCGGTAATTCTTATCGAAGTCTATGAAGAGTTAGCAGAGCTACTGTAAGGTGGGCATGGATTACTTACCCTCTATGGTCTCAGATGAAGGCATGGGTGCCCTCCTCATCGCATCCCGGCGGCTGCGTTCGCCCGACATCATAGTGGACGCGAGTGTCAATAGCAGAGCGGAAAGTGTCTTTGGTGGGTGAGTGCTCTGAGCGAGAGAGTCAATATTGCTGTTGATGTTGTTGACAAACGCTCGAGTTAAGTGGGTCTCGACTAGCGCATAATGCGAAGGGAAGGAGCCCTGGAGCCTGGCGAGATGGGAAGAACGCCAGATATTTGATGAAATAGTTGATGGCTTCGATGTTTCGTGTAAGCTATGTGTGTTGAATGAAGAGGATGGGCGCGTTGCTACGAGGCTTTCGTCTAGTCAGGAAAGAACTTGCGCGCGAGAATTATATTGAAGAGGATATTAGGAAGGAGGATTGAGAACCAGCGAAATTACTGATGGACAAATCTTATCATGGGGAGTGGACGAGGGAGCGTGAGTTAAGTTGGAACATAAGCGAAAAGAGAGATTTTGTTCGGTTGCTGGAATGGTCGACAGCCAGCGAGAAGTCCTCTCGAACCTGCAATGATGGTCTACTTTAGAAAAACTGCGTAGATATACGTGCGATAGCGCATGACAGAGTCCAAAACCCTAGCTGCATTTCAAATTGTTCGGTATCTGCCAGAATGCAAGATGTTGCAAACCGATTGTCAAAGTCGTGGAGATTCGATCACGAAGCGATCTCAGAACCAAGCCACAGCTTGCTCGTGTCCACGCTTTTCCCTCCAGTCCTTCAGTTTGTGATTAACCACCCAAGCCGGTAGTGGCGTTCTCCAATCATCCACATTATACGGCTCTGCCCACAACCGACCATCAACATCTTCAGGTGTCCAGAGATGAGATGTGTAGTCTACTTCAGCCTTGCTGAACAAGTAGCAGCCATATTTTAGACACCTGTGATGACGTCGCTGACGTCGCTGACTCCGGTGCTCATCTTCGGAAATCGGTTCCTGCTCGAGACGGTACCCTTCGACCCGCTGTACGAGCTGCAACGTGTCTAGACAGGGCGGTGGCACGAGCATATATGGAGACATATCAAATCGTGCAAAGGTATTGTTGTGATGTTGTAGTAAGGTTTGGGAGCGGTATTGATAATCGATTCGGATGGTTGCTAGAAATGGAGCTTTCTGCGCCAGCACAGAGACAAGACGCCGCGTAGTGTTCCACGTCCACTCATTCAGGTCTTCATGGCTGTTGGGGACGAGAATCGCGACGTGCCTGATGTAATGGCTGAAAAGTGTGTCTAAAGGTAGCGTGCGACGCTTGCGACTGGGTGGTGATTGATGCGGTGTATCTACAGGGCAGGGTCGTAGGCGGTCCCGATCGCAGATTGTGACGAAGACTCCTTGTTTCGCAGTGATTTCAAGAGACTCTTCTCGCAGACGAGGATGAGCATGAAGTAGCGCGAGAGTCGGTGCGTTGTGGACGCGGTACAGGAGACAGAATGTAGGGAAAAGACTGGTTTCACGCCAGTCAGATTCTCCTTCAGCTTGCAGGTACGAATATATCAAATCGCGCAATTCTCGAGGAAGAGTAAGGAGGGTGGAGGGTTGGGGTGCAGAGTCAGGCATGGTGATGATGGAGTACAAGTGGTGACAGCTGCGCTCGGTGGTGTCGAAGTTGTTTCAACGTGCAGGCCTAGTATGATGCTATCGGAGCTTACCGAACCTTGCACGTACCTTGGAAGTACCTAGGTAGTGGCATCGTGTGCGACTCGCAACGCAGGATCGCTGGCACTGTTGAGCCGTTGGGCCGCTCGGACAGTCAAGCTCGGTATACCTCGGCAGGCCAAGACGGCAATGGCGGCAACAATTTGAACTCCTTGGCGCAAGTTCCCTATGTACTCCGAGTAGAAAGAAAAAAGCTCGGCAGTACTGTTGATACATGGGATAAACGGCATTTAAGAATACTCCGCCCGGACACCGTCGGAAGTCGCGCGGACACAAGACCGACTGCTGCCTGGGAAAGGCGCAATACAGAAGAAACTCGCGCTCCAGTGTTCCTAGTCTCCCCAACATGGCGAGCGACGATCCATATCTTTACCCTACAGTGGCACTCGGTCGATTACGCATCCCAGGGCCAGCAATCCCAATCATCCTAGTTGGCTCCCCTTTCTTCGTGCGACGACAAACTTCACGACAAAAGAAACACCTTCAAAATTTACTGGTGGTCATACACCTTTTGCTATACATCTACAACCTCACGGAAATTTTTGTCAAGAAAGAGAAAGAGGGTGAAGGTGACGACACATTGCCATTACTGGAACACCTCGTTCTGGCCTTCGGAGAACCTGCCTTACAGGAGGGACAGACATCTGTTTGGCCATACATATCGGTTGCCGTGGGATGGATCTTGTCTCGAGCGCTTGCTCACCCTCAGAGGGTGTGGATCTCTATCGTGCTATCTCTTCCCAGTGCTCTGAGGATGAGCAAGCAAGTCAATGTTGGAGTTAACTTGAGTGCACTTTCACTGCTCACCAGAATGACTTTCGTGGTATCGGGCTCTGAACATGGGCTCTCAATGGCGAATGTTGCTGGTGTTGCCCTCCCTGTGGCGCTGGCAAGACTTTGCTACCCGCTGTTCCTCAGGAAGCTTTGCCGAGCACTTCAAGTCCGGCCTCGACGCGTGCTAGAAGATAGCATTGGAGAACAATGTTTGAAGTGCATCCAGGCGCCATTCGCAGTATTCACTGTCGCTGGTGCGGGGTGGATAATAAGCAGCTTCGTATTCTCCTGTCTCCCATGGCGAAGGCTGTTCAATGAGGAGGCGTCCAGGGCTCCATCGTGGACTGTGCTCTCGTTTGCTGGAGGGGTTGTGTTCCTTCCTCTTTTCTCGATCGTAAAGTTCATGAGGGTTCAAATTATAGGGAGGGAACCTGCAGCTGACTTGGGCGCCTTTGTGCAGTATCAGTTGGGAGACTGCGTGGCAGCGACGTGGTGGGTGAGCGTTGCGTATATCTTGCTCTGGCTGGGGTCGGAAGCGCTCTCATGGTGCGGCAAAATGTAATCCTAACTTATTAAGATAACTAAGTTAGTAGCTTTATTAGTAATTACATAGAAGAAAATTTAATCTCTACAAAGTGTGACACAAACTAAGGCTTAAGGCCGCCGCTTTAACTAGTATAATGCTATTAGAGAGCTTGCCGAACCTTGCACGTGCCTTGGGAGTGGTGGCATCGTGTGCGACTTGCAACACAGGATCGAGTGGTGTTCATGCGACGATGGAAATAGCAACTGAACGCTTCATTACATAGATGGGTATAAAGCCAAATCCGATGCGCAGCCTTACATGCTAGCATCACGCTGTCCTTACGACTCTAATCGCGCCTACGACTCCCACTCCTACTACGTGTCCTACTCCGTGACC